AAAAAGGCTGACTCGGACTTTTACCTTATATTTGCATTGGTATTATTTGGGTCTCAAATCGAAAGAAAAGAAATCTAGAATCTGCTTAATTTTTGGTAAATGACCTTTTCAGAGCTATTGAAGTGTTATATGAAAAGAAAAATGGGTGTTATGGGGCAAAATATTTTACCCAGTATTGAAGGAAGAATACCAAGTAGTCCGAAGATCTGACACAAATTCCTAAACCTCACCTAAGTACATCCTTAAATGCATTTTAAAATTCAACATTCAAAGCTAAAATATGAAATAGCAGAACAGTGTAATTATTTTAAGATTTGATTTTTATCTTTTTCAGGAGGATTTTAAAGAAGCATTTGATGTTGTTGAAGACATTATACAGAATTATAAAAGTGCATTTTCATGAAATATAAATAAAATTGATGATTTTAATATTCATAATCATCAAAACAAATGTGTGTCTTATTTTTTTTATGTTATTTGTGTTTTTTTTTAAAACCTTCTATATAGACATATATGACAAAGTTTCTGTTGTTTTTATGTGCACTGTGGTTTTTAAATGTTTTTTTGGTTTATAAAAAAGAGAGCCTAAAATTACCAAAGAACATTCAAACTCGCAAATGTCTCACTTATTATGAGTAAATTTGTCTTTAAGATACTATGTAGACCAATTTTTATACCCCACGTTATTTATTGCATCAGGTATAATGTTTTTGACCTGTCCGTCTTATGTCCGTCCGTCCGTCCGTCTGTCCATCAGTCCTCATCGCAACTCCTCTGAAACTACACAACAGAATTTAATGAAACTTTGTAGATAATAAGGACATACTATGTAGATATGCACATCGACAGGAAATTATGATTCAATTTTTGTGGAGCCTTCGACTTTTGTCGAAAATGCGAGACATAGCGATCCTACATTCCGTCGGCGTCGTCCTCGGCGGCGTTCACAAATATTCACTCTGTGGTTAAAGTTTTTGAAATTTTAATAACTTTCTTAAACTATCCTGGATTTTTACCAAACTTGGAAAGAAGCTTGTTTATGGTCATAAGATAGTATCCAGTAGTTAATTTTGTAAGATAAAAATTCCATTTTTTCAGTATTTTACTTAAAAATGGACTTAGTTTTTCTGCCAGTTACCATAACATTCACTCTGTGGTTAAAGTTTTTAAAATTTTAACAACTTTCTTAAACTATCCTGGATTTGTACCACACTTGGACAGAAGCTTGTTTATGATCAAAAGCTAGTATCTAGAAAGAAATTTTGTTTTCTTCCAGTTAACATTACATTCAGTCTGCAGTTAAAAGTTTTTTAACATTTATTAGATTCATAAACTATACTTGATTTTTACCAATTTAGGATAGAAGCTTCTTACAATCAAAAGATAGTATCAAGTGGAATATTTTTATTTGATTTACTTCCTCATTTTTGTTGAGCCTGCAGTTAACAGAAAAAGTAGGCGAGACACTGGGTTCCGCGGAACCCTTACGAATTTTTGTTCTAGGAGTAACACCCCTTTGAACTATTTTGCCTCAATATATACTACTGCAACAGTTTGTGAACGCAACTCCTCTGAAACCGAATTTCTTGAAAGTTTGTAGATAATAAGGACATTCTATGTAGATATGTATATGGACAGGAAATTATGATTTTTTTTCTAGGAGTTATATATGACCTTTGAAGTTAGAATTTTGGCCTAAATATACTACTGCAACAGTTTGTAATCGCAACTCCTCTAAAACCACACAACAGAATTTCATGAAACTTTGTATTTTATGAGGACATAATATGTTAATGAGCATATCCACATATGGTGAGATTTTGTTTGTCCAGTGACAATGTAGGGGTGGTGGGTATGTGAGCATGCTCAGAAAGGTTCTTTAATTTGTGTAAGAAATGATCACAAGGTTTAAATGTCTGTCAGGCTTAGTTTCTCTGACTTTGGCCTCATTTTCATGGGTTCATTGTCAACGTTAAGTTTATGTGATACATGTAGTAAACGTTGACCTTTACAACTGTCAACATAAAATCAATCATGGTTAATAGAGCAGGTGAGCCATTTCAGCGTGTGCATTTTTGTCAAACTGTAATATGTTGTGACTGATCTAAAATGGAGGTCCAGTTCGATATTTTTGACGATTTTCATTTTTTTCATTGATCAGTGTTGCATGCAAGTAGTTATGTCCTCTTCTTAAATTCTATAACCAATAGGTCAACTATATTTGGTCTGTGGAATGATAATTATGTGTACATGTCTGTCTGACAGGGATCCTTTGACCTTAACATCAAGTTCATGGTGCATTAATTAATATTAAAAATTTTCGGTTTGGTCGGTTTCTTTTATACTATGAGTAACTGGTCATTAATGGTGTATGAAATAGTTAAAAAGTATATGTTTATGTCTGACTTGGTTTATCTGACCTTGACCTCATTTCCATGGATACTTGATAATGTTTAGTTTAAATGATACATATAACACTTTATCGTTAGTACTATCAACATACAATCATTCATGGTAAGTAAAACAGGCGACACATTTCATCTTTTCGGCTCTTGTTTTCATATTATGAGTAATAGGCCAACTGCATTTAGTGCATGTAATGACTGTACGCTGTACTTGTCTGTTGAAGGGCTCAGCTGACTTTTACCTACTTTTTATGGTTCAAAAGTCAATCTTTAGTTTTATTGGATTGATTTGTTTCTCCGTTTCTCAAGTACTATGAAGTACTATGGAGTAATATTAGCAAATGTTTAGTTGTGTTTTGTGTATGGAAGACTGTTTCTAGTGCAATTATTTTGTATCAATGGTTCTGATTGGATGACAGTAAGCGTAAAATTCTCTATCTCCTTGTCTGTAACTAAGGAAGCCGACATTTTGAATTGCGGAATGTATTGACATGTAATTTCTACAATAATGAGCAAAATAACTCACATGTTGCACCTAAAGGGACCAAAGAAGATAACATCTTTTCGCAGAATTTCTTTAATGAAAATTTAACACTGAAATCATGATTGAAATTTAATTACGAATTTGTTTTGCATTATAAAAGAGATAACTGTATCGTATTTGAAGCTTTGCGGACGTCCATGGGTAGTTTTAATGTCGCAAATACCCGTTTACCTGTCTCAGCTACGCGTCGCCAGGTAAACTAAATGTGCGACAGTAAAACTACCGATGGACGTCCGCAAAGCTTCAAATACGATACAGTAATCTCTTAAATGGTGTACTTGGTCGTCTTGCAGATTTCACCGATGAAAAACTGACAAAGCCATAGCAAAATACCGAAAGACGACTTACAGAGAAATGATTTCCACAAAACACTACGTAGACAATAAAAGATTGTGGAACAAAATAATAAAAAAAAAACTAGGATGCATGAAATGCTACGGACGGGTAAGATGATCCTGATACACTAGTGGCACCTGTCAAGTTGCTCTGGGAAGTACACATTATATTACTTGTCGAACTTAGGGTCCAACTTGACTTGATTCTTGATTTACTCAAAACCTTTATTTGAATTTCAACTATCGCTCTATTCGAACCTGAACTCTTACTCGATTGGTAGTCAGTCTCATCTTGATGTATTAAATTTTCAAAATATTCGAATTAGCTCTCGCCGCGATATAGACTTTTTGCGCTCATGCGGCGTAAAGCAAACACCAAAGAATCATATTGATGTATCGTGCAGTGAAGAACGGTAGGGTTTTATACTTTCATTTTATTTTCAGTTTATTAACATCGAAATTTGCAATTGTATGTCCTTGAAAACTTAAATTATTGGTCATTTAAAAAAGTGTTATTATTGAAATGATGAACGTTGCACATATGTTACTGGGTAGTTTATATGGATCAACAACAGTCCACAATTGGACATGATCTTTTATTGGTACGACTATTTTATTCTTGCTGTTGTCCTTTTGTCCATTCCATACTTTTCATTTGATAATAATATTTAAATTCATGCATATGTCACCTGCACACATTAACCGTATAACCTTTGCTTGTAATCTACCAGGATAAATCAAATAGTTAATCAACATAGTAAGAACAGGTCTGGAGCAAAAGGTTATCAACATAGTAAGAACAGGTCTGGAGCAAAAGGTTATCAACATAGTAAGAACAGGTCTGGAGCAAAAGGTTATCAACATAGTAAGAACAGGTCTAGAGCAAAAGGTTATCAACATATGCCACTTAAACTTAATCATAACGTCCACAAACATGAGAGTTGACCTTCTACTATGTTGTCTTACTGGTATGTACGTGCACTCATTTTTTTTGTCAATATTTGCATTGAAAATGTTTGGGCAGTCTTATGCTTTTATGTACATATTTGTATACCAGGTTCAGTCTGTTGTTAAGAAACATTTTTAGAAATCTTTTCCTTTGTTAAACTTTCTTTTAAATTTGTAGAAAATCTTTTTTATGACCCACAGACAGGAACAACAGCAAAATTTGAAAATAAGTTTTCCGTAGTTGAAGGTGCCGGTAAATTCAGAAAAGCTATTCAGACGGATTGAATTGATACATAAACTCGTCAAAGATACCAGAACTAAAATTTTGTATTTGTGCCATCAGTGACGCTCGTATAAAAAAAAGTTGAAAAAAAAACCAAATAAAGTACGAAGTTGAAGAGCATTGAGGACCAACAATTGTCGAAATCTTTAGTTATTGCTCTATCCTTGAGGAGTTTGTTACAACATTGATAAGGAAGAAAACTCTTAAAAATCCTATGCTTTTCATTTGGCAGATCTTAGATGAACGGAAGCGGAATTTGCCGAGGTTTGCTGATGATTGTTAGGCATTTGTGATAGCTATAATCTTGAAATTAAAGTTGTTATGCATTAACGTGAATCTAAAATCTGTGTTATTTCTAAGTCAAGAAAATGATTGGCATAAACGTACTAGTGATTTATAAAATTTAAATCCGTTCACAAAGTCCTATTTTCAAAATTCTTTGAAAACAGTTATATATTACTTTGAACACAATTAGATATTTCTAACTTTCAGGGCTATTTGCCAGAGTGACTGGTTTAATAGACTGGGCAGCTGCTATAGCGGCGGCTGGATCGGCTGCCAGTGCTGTCACTTCTGGTGCAAGTGTACTTAATGGACTTTTAGGTGGTTCCGGTTATAGTGTTGCCTGTACGGTAGAAGTAGAAAACTGGACCAAATACCCTTTGATTTACCCCGAATCATACATCAATGGTGGCATTATTCAAGCTCCACCGGTGGTAGTGAGACCAGGACAAAGGGAGCAGTTCGTAAGTAGCAGACTCTCATGACCGGTTTAAGCGTTTCCATATACTATTAACACAGGAAGATGTGTTTTTGTCATATGTATTTCTATTTGTCTTCATCTGATAAGTTAATATAAAAAAGAAGATGTGGTATAATTGCCTATGAGACAACTCACCACAAGAGACCAAATGACAAAAAAAATTTCAAATGATTTGGATAGTTTATCTTATGTTGTACTGTTACGCCACTGTCCAAGGTTAGAGGGAGGATTGAAATCCCGCTAATATGTTAAACCCCGTCAATGACTATACAGTATGGGCTTTGCTGATTGTTAAAGGCCTAACGCTGACCTATAGCTGTTAATTTCAGTGTCATTTTGGTCTCTTGTGGAGAGTTGTCTCATGCTCAATCATACCACATGTATATATATATATATAAACAAGTCTAAATTGAAAACTACGTTCAAACCTATGATTGCGTTGGATAAAAACCGCAATTTTTATACGTGCAAAAGACCAAAAGAGTGAAAAAATTTATTTTAACAAAACGCCTTTGACTAACAGGTCGAACAACTGATGTTCTTAAACCCTGCTGACTGCTATTGGCGATTTCCGAATAAATTGATCACAACATGAGGTGCTAAATTTTTTACACCATATCCGGATTTCGACAATTAATGTCTCTTTAGTGATGTTAGGGATCGAAAAGTATTCGGAAGGCCATTAAATTTACCTCAATTTAGGATAGACTCTTAAATTTTAAAGAGTCAAAATAGGATGAACGGATTATATAAACCGGAGGGAAATATAATACAAGCCCAAACGAAATAAATATAAACAAGTCTAAATTGAAAACAACGTTCAAACCTATGATTGCGTTGGATAAAAACCGCATTTTTTATACGTGTGCATGTAACAAATTTCGTTGTAGAGAGGTTCAAATACAGCACAAACAACATTTTTAAAAGACAAATAGTGTGAACAAATATATTTTAACAAAACGCATTTGACTAACAGGTCGAACAACTGATGTTCTCAAACCCTGCTGACTGCCATTGACAATTGACAAATAATTTGATCAGAAGATGTAACAAAATGGATCTTTATATTAATGTAATATCAAACAGAAAACAATAAATTTGCGGCAAAGATGGTAAACCACAAACATGAGGTGCAAAAAATATATATATGATTGTCGATGGGGTGACTATCCACCAGAAAACACCAATAAATCACTGTATGGCCTTCAAAAAAGAATAAAGTACATAACGTATAATCAGCTATCGCAGTCTCTGACATACAAACAATGTAAACAAATTCAAACAAGAAAACTAAAGTTCTAAACAATGGACGAAAAACAAATATTACATTCAGCAAACACGACACCTACTGAATTGCAGGTTCATAATTTTAGTCAGTCACAAATAATGCGACTGGTATATCATGTTTATAACACATGTAACAGTAGCGTACTTAACAGCAAAACATTAGAAAACAACAGTAAACACAAAATGTTTAATTGTTCATCTAAATATGAAAACCATTTATAAAGGCTTAGCCAAAAAAAAGATCTTCTTAGTAATTTTTCAAAGTAAATATTTTCTTGTGTAAGTACTGACCCACGCGACAGACATGCTATATTGCAATCGATGGTAAGATAATGACTGAAAATAAAATCCGATAAAAAGAAATGATTCTACATAGACTTGTTCATTTATGTTGAATTTCGCATTGATCGTTTTATTACATTAACATTTAGAGTTTTTTATCTTACCATGTCGTACCACCTGGTATCAATTTTATATCGATTCCATTAAATTCTAATCTTTATGGTATTTAATATTTCAAAAGAAAGTTTGCGACAATGAGACAAATAGAAATATACATTACATTTTATTTTTTATTTGCAGGTAGCACACAAAACCGGGAATACCGCTACAGGTACATACGGAACAGCATCCTGGTTAATATCGTCTACTAGTAAGAGAGCAGTCGTCATGTGGAGTTGTCCATACAGTTTTGATTTACACATCAACGAACTAGGCGTCGGGCTAACAGATAAAGGGGTTACACAACATAAAGACTGGTTCCAACAAATGGAGTCTGGGACAAGCGGCTCTGGTTTAAATTTCCGACGTGGAGAATATTACTTACATACTAAAACAATATCTATTAAGGACAGCCAATTTGAAGTCACTGGCATTATGGGGACCAGCCATAAAGCTAAAGCTCGCATCATCGTACGACCATTTGAGTTAAATGATCTTGCAGACTCATTGAAAGTGCAGGTTGAGAAAGTACCTATTGTTGGGTAGCTTCAATACTGTACAATTGTCGATTTTTTATCGATTGTTTCTTGTACTTGTAAAAACTATTGATTGTTCAAATACTAAATTTTTAAATTATTGAATTGTAGAAATACTGTTGGATGCTTGTCAACTTTTTAATACATGTAATACGCCAAATAACACCCCCAGGGCAAAGTGAACATAAAAACAGTGTTAGATGCATGAATTTGTTTATTAGTTGTTATTGGCTTTGAAGTAGCTGCCAGTAACTGCGAGTACTCTCCGATCTGTACTTAGTTTCTTTTTGTTGTTGGGATTTCAAGTATCCGGCCATGTCCAATCTGTGTAGTGTTAAATGTATTTCTATGTGTATCCATCTGATGAGTTAAGCCTCGTTCACCTCGTTCAACTGATTTTGATAGGCCGTTCCTATGTTGTACTGTTACACCACTGTACCAGGTTAGGCGAGGGTTGATATCCTGGTAACATGTTTAACCCCGCTGCATTATGTATGTACGTCCCCGACCCAAGTCAGGAGCCTGTAGTTCATTGGTTATTGTTTGTTGCTGTGTTACATTTTTGTTTTTCGTTCCTTTGTTTTACATTAATTATGCCGTAAATTTTTCTCGTTTGATTTGTTTTATATGTGTCATTTCGGGGCCTTTCAAAGCTGACTATGCGGTATGGGCTTTGCTCATTGTTGAAGGCCGTATGGTCACCTAAAATTGTTAATTTTTGTGTCATTTGGTCTCTTGTGGAGAGTTGTCTTATTGGCAATCATACTATATCCTCTTGTCTTTATATATAAGGTTTGTTGGATACACATGTGGAGCAGGATTTTCTTATCCTTTCGGAGCACCTGATATCACCCCCAGTTTTTGATGGGGTTCGTGTTACTTAGTCTTTAATTTTCTATGTTGTGTCTTGTGTACTATTATTTGTTTGTTTGTATTTTTATTTTTTAGCCATGGCGTTGTCAGTTTATTTTCGATCTATGACTGTCCCTCTGGTATCTTTCGACCCTCTTTTAGTGAGAAAACTTCAACAAAGCTGTTTTAAGTTTACACTTTTGTTTTTGGTGAATTGCTCTGGTATTGTAGAAGAACCATATTTGTGTATGCGTGATTAATTTTATTCTAAACGAATCTTCCCGCTCACGATTAAGGTGTGGGTATTTTGAGCTAATTCAAAGGTTACACTATCTGTGAATATATTATGCATGATGTAAAAGTGTATTCATTTTATTCAATATTATGCAGCACTAGAATATATATACTTGTATGCTTATATATATATATATTTACTTGTATAAAAATTCCCGGTTCTAATCTAAGACATGATTATTAAAAGTTAAGGATGTTCGCTACTCTGTTTCAAAATAATAAGCTTTTTAAAAGACTGTTATAAATTGATAGTATATAAATAAAGGAACTCAAAGAGCAGATAAAAATGAAGGGTCTGTGTGCTTGTTTTCGAGATATAAGCCATTGAAAATTTGGCTGGAAATGATTCTCTCTAGATTTTTCATACAAACAAGGAGTTGATAAGATTTTCAAAGATGTCATTTTTAACTATATTTAATCAAATTATGAAAAGAAAAGTAGGGGTTAGTGGGCAACAATTTTTAATGGCACTTCTTTGACAAAACCAGAGGATTCCGAAGATGTGGCAAAAATTCAAAAACAAGAGGAGAGAACATGCTTAAGGTTCTTTCTAGTTCATGCAAAGTTTACCTTAGATAACTCTTACTAATCTGTTTAGGTTTGAGCGTTATTGGTGAAGATTAAAAGAAAATTGCTTCAACGCACACACTTTACAAACTTGTTTTTCAATTTGAGGCAGTAGTAGTTTACAGCTCAGATTTTTTTTATGAATTATACAATATTAGTGAAATGGTCAACATAAAACATTTGATAAATCGCAAGTGTCGACTGTATGATGGTGTTTCAACTTATTCGACCAAATTTGACACATTGATCTTCATTCTGTTAATAATTTGCCAACATTTGCCCTCTGACAAATGAAGTGTCGTCAAATCTGTAGATAAAACCAAACTTATTCTATAGATTGCTCGCGTTCAGTTACCTATACATTTCTATATTATACGACAGTGAAAAAGTATGACATAATCTTTAACTTTCGCACACTAACGTGAGAGTACCCAAATTGCACCAATTTTGACAGTTTTTTCAACTACGTTTTTTATGATCCAGACTAAATTGTCCATTCTGTTTTTATTTTGTAGGCCTATCCTTATTTACTATATAGTAACACCATTTTAATTTTGAATCCGCAGTGACTCATAGAAAATTAGACTTGAACCGACCTCCAAACGATCCATGATTCTGCAATGATGAATACCCAAATCGCATTCATGCTTAAAGTCACATTCTTAAAAATTGAATAACAGATGTTTTGTTCTATTTCTTCAAATATTTAGAACAATTTGACATTAGTCCACGCTTAATATTCATTTTTTTTTAGAAATGGATGCTTGTAACATATTTCATTTGCTCATTTTTAAAAGATGACTTTTTGTGAACGTCGCATGACGACGTTTCCGCATGTTTTACTTTTTCCGTGAATGGATCATCTATTGATATATACTGTGAAAGTTTTGTGAATATCTAAACATGCTAACCTATGTTAAAAGACGTGTATAGTGTCAAATCATAAAATTATAAATGGTTTAGTCACAAAGAAAACTTGTAAGATTTCTGAAGCTATTTTTGTTGAATAGGTGCAATTTGGGTACTCGGTGCAATTTGGGTACTGGGACGTTAGTATATATTACACAACGATCTACCATTCTTCTATAACTTATTCATATATTATTTTTTGAAATAAATGTTTCTCCACTACTTACCGTCTATTTGAAATATACTACGCCCATTGACCGTGTTCATTAGAAATAATTTGATATTTAATATACACAGATTTGATATTTAATATACACAGTTCCCACGTGTTTGCTTTAAACCAATGATATTTTTAGATATTCTACACTAAGTGCCTTTATATGACAGAGAGAAATTCCCACATCAACATGTTTTTTTTCCAAATAATTACCTAATCAACGCTTCACTCCATATCATATTCTTAATTTATAGTTATACATTGACGGTTTTTCAATTCGGATCTTGTAAATAATTCAGATCAAACAAGATGTGTTGAAACGACATGCAAATCAGCATAACAGAACAAAACATAACCTTCATCTGTAACACATCATGGTTAACTCACATACCAAACATCAGCCCAATATATGAAGGCGTTTAGAAAAAAAAGTCCCTATAATTGTGATTTTCGACAATTTATCAAAGTCCAAAACCCGTCATTTCGAAAAAAATAGAAGAGCAGAACAAAACTTAAACTATATCTGTAACTCATCATCGTTAACTCACTTATAAAAAATTCAGCCCAATATTTGAAGGCGTTTAAAAAAAAGTATAACTGTGATTTTCAACAATTTATCAAAGTAGTAAAGCACGTAATTTCGATAAAAATTAGCAGAACGGAACGAAACTCAAACTTGATCTGTAACTCATCATGGTTAACTCTCGTACCAAAAACTCAGCCCAATCTATGAAGGTGTTTAGAAAAAAATCCGTATAACTGTGATTTTCAACAATTTATCAGTTCAAAACCCGTAATTTCGTCAAAAATCAGCAGAGCGAAACGAAACTTAAACTCGATCTGTAACACATCATGGTTAGCTCACATACCAAAAATCAGTCCAATATCGCAAGGCGTTAAGAAAACAAATTCGAAATTCTGATGTTCAACAATTTATCAGAGTCCAAAGCCAGTAATTTCTGCAAAATTAGCAGAACGTAACGAAGCTTAAACTTGATCTGTAATTCATAATGGTTAACATACCAAAATTCAGCCCAACATCTGAAGGCGTTTGGAAATAAAAGTCCGTATTACTGTGTTTTTCAACAATTTATCAAAGTCCAAAGCCCGTCATTTCGCCAAAAATTAGCAGAGCGGAACGAAACTTAAACTTGATCTGTAACTCATCATGGTTAACACACATACCAAAAAATCATCCAAATATCTGAGAAAAAAAAACATGCGTCTAATGGTTTGTTGCGGAATGACGGAATGACGGACAAGGGTAAAACTATATGACCCCGACAACTTTGTTGCGGAGCCAGAAAAACACATTGTTTTAATGCATATGACATGCGTTTTGGAAAGTTATTTATATGTCGAAAAAATGTGGAAAAAAGAAGCGAAACATACCGGAAGGATATTCAAACTCATAAGTCGATGTCAGACTGACAACACAATGGAAAAAACGAAAACCTCCCAACAGACAAACAATCTATAATACTAAAAAAAGGAGGTCCAATTTGTTAGCCGTCATGGCGTAAAAACAATCATTCAAAGAATTCAATTTTATATATAACTAATATAGGAAAATATTGTTGATAAAAATTACACCATTCCAGGCCTTTTTGTTTTCCACATAATTAATATTAACAATAGTTAACAAGTTTCGGGTCGAATCCGATACCAATACCAATTATTATTTATAAAAAACGAAGGCAGAGAAAACTGTGCACATTATGATCAGCATGACTTTATCAGATGACAATACAAAAACTAAAAATCCAGGCTAAAAAAAAGCGTTGGTATTTCAGTCACGGACGTGTGATGTCGCGGGTGTGTTCTAGTAGTCTATAAGTTTTCTATGTTTAGCTTTGTAGTCTGTTTCTTTTCTTTTGATCGTTTTTCGTATTTTGTCCTGGCATTGTCAGTTCGTTTTTGACTAATGAGTGTGACTAAATCCTTTGGTATTTTTTGCCTCTCTTTTACAAAATACAACATAGAAAACTAAAGACTGAGCAACACGGACCCAACGAAAACATGGCTGATCACATGTAATTCAGCACGATAAGCAGATCCTGTTCCACATGTAGCACCCACCGTGTTGCTCGTTAAATATATATTCGATGAAGAAAAGAGAACGAGACTGTGATAATTGGAAAATATCAGTGATGGTCTATGGAATTCATATTCGATAACGCCATCAAATTTGTGATGACAACTGTTAATTTTCCTAATGGATGACTGCAACTTCATCTATTGGAACCTTTGGTTTAAAAGCTTCAAAGAAGCATGGACACATTTATTTCTAGAGGTCTAAAATCGATCGCATTTTTTAAATAACAAATAGCTAAAATTCGGAACTGGGATAAGGAAAATTATATTCC